AAAACACAGGTGGAGGGATAGTGATTTAGTGCACCAAAGAAGTAACAGGATGGAGAATTCTCCCATAAGCCAAATCCAGGTGGAAATACATGATTATAGAAATGGGTTAATAATTAAGACAGAGATAGCCAATAAGAAGCCCAACCACCAGCCAACTGTTGTATACCCAATATACCATCTGTGTATTCATTTAGGACTAAAGGGTGCCAGAGTCAAACAGGATGAAGAATATATATATATATATATATATATATATATATATATATATATATATATATATATATAGAGAGAGAGAGAGAGAGAGAGAGTGAGAGAGAGACAGACAGACAGACAGACAGAGAGAGAGAGAGAGAGATGTGTGTTTATAGACCTTAAGTGTTGAACATCAAAAATTTAAAATCTGCTCTATGAAATGCTTCAAAATTCACAAAGTTTTGAGTGCTACATACACCCACAGTGTCATTGAGAGCACTCTGGATTCCTGAATTTCCATAGTTCGGGTGGACACTTGCCTTAAACTGTGTGGAAGAAGAATACAGATCAGAACAAGGAGCTACAAAGGATTTTGCTGTTTGGTTGTTTTTGAGGTAGAGTCTTACTAAGCAATTCTCAGAATGGCCTGGAACTCACTCTGTAGATGAGGCTGCCCTCACGCTCACAGAAATCCTCCTGCTTCTGCACCTCAACTGCTAGAATTAAAGGGATGTGCTACCATATCTGGTCTAACATTATTTACCCGGTTTAAAAAAATAAGTAAGTCTATAATTACAAGCAGTTGTGTTATTTACCCAAAAAATTTTCTCTAGAAATATAAGTAAAAGCAGTGCCTATACTTCACAAATGTCTACTCACAGATTATTTTAAAGGTAAAGTGAGATGAAAAGATAACATAAGGGAGATTTTAGAGTAATGAAAATGTTTAAATACTATGCTTCCTCCTCCTCCCTCTTGAAGGAAAGGTGAGGTTCTGAATAGACCCTCCAACACAGTTGGAGGAAAGAGAATAGCTCCTTTCAGTGAAGGTCAGCACAGTATATAGGGACCATATGGGAAGTGCTCTGGAATAATTAAAACAGCAGTTGTATATACAAGGTTCTTTTGTGCACCAGGAATACATCCTGGTTCCACTGCCTGAGGTCCCTTAGACTGCGAAGTCCTTCTAGCTGAGACCCATGTTCCCATGGAGGGCACTCCCTTAACCTAGAAACAGGAAAGAAGTCCTAGTCCCTACTTCAAATGACTTGACAGATTTATATGTCCCCACCTGGATGGCATTGCCCTACATGTGGAATTGGGTGGGGGGATGGGAGGGGAGGGTGGTCAGGGTACATGTGAAGGGGGAGAGAGGGTAAGAGGTAGGGAGGGAGGGAGAGGGAGAGAACTGGGATCGACATCTAAAAGAAAATAATAATAATAATAATAATAATAATAATAATAATAATAATGACAATGATAATAACAGCAGTCTTAAATGCAGATCCAATTAGCTGAACCATAAGTCAGAATCACATTCAACAGCTCTCATCGTGTTATCCTACTGTCTGTCAGCTTATGTCTAATATGTGCCCTGAACACTGCACAGATTTGAACAGAGCATGGTGTTTTTGAAGCTTTTCAACAAATTAGAAGTTTATTAAAATAACAGCATAAGGTGCATATATAAATACTCACACCTTGAATTCCCTCAGCTTTACACCTATGTAAAGAATTCTGATATTTTCAAGGTTTTCTTTTTAAATTGGCGTGTGTGTGTGTGTGTGTGTGTGTGTGTGTGTGTGTGTGTCTTTCTTTCTTTCTTCCTCTTATTCTTTCTTTCTACCTTTCTATCAACATGGGGGTCATGTCCATGAAAGGTACAGTGGCCAATGAGGCCAGAGGCATTGGATCCTCTAAAGATGAAGTTTACATGGACCTTGAGCTATTCAATATGTGTGCTAGGAACTGAACTCAGGTCCTCTGCAACAGCAATATGTGCTTTTAAAAGCTGAGTTACCTGTTCATCTCAAAAACAATTCTGATTTTTAAAATAGGAAGGTCATAAGTTTGAGTGGAATGGTGCTTATTTTTATATTTATATGTTCAATGTGGAAGGCAGGCTACAAGCTCTAGAGAAATTTTACCTGGGTAAATAACACAACTCTCAAGATGTATTTTACATAAAACCCAAACAAAAAACAACAGAACCACACACAATGCCAAACTATTATCTACTGTATATAGCCACACAAGTTAAACAAAGGTTGCTGTTGGTATTTAGGAGTCACTATAGGATTGAGGGAGGATGATGTGCATATGCTTTTTGTGTTTCTTTGTTATCTTGTCATTTTTTGTGTTGCATTTTATTTTGTTTTCTGAAATGGTTTCATTATGTACCCCTAGCTGGCCTGGAATTGGGTATGCATACCCAATTACCTGAAAATGAAAATGATTTCCCTTTTTGACTCAGAGTACGATTCAAACGTGTCTGACAACATACACAGATATTTTTGGAAATTTGTGACCATATACTTCCCAATAATCCAACTTAACCAGTATGATAAACGTATTTACAGAGTGACATCTCCCATCACCTTATCATACTGGTTAATGAATAAAGTATTGTTGGTCAATAGGAAAGCAAGACAGGTAGTACTAGGAGACAAGAAGGATTCCAGGAAGTAGTAAGGAGGAGTCAGCATGGAGAGACTGGGGAGACCAGATGCCGGCCCCATTCCCCGTAAGATGAAACCACTTGGAAATTCTTAGATTAACAGAAATGGGTTAATACTTAAGACAGAACTAGCCAATAAGAAACTAGTACCTGGCCAACAGCATTATATCAAATATATAGTCTCTGTGTGTTATTTGGGGCTAGGGTGGTGGTGGGCCCAGGCGCCGGGGGGAAAAAAACCTACTACATACATGAAGGTTTGCAATGTGAAAGTGCTTGATTTAAGTCAGAGCCACATAGGTCATGGCCAACCATGAAATGTTCTAGTCACACAGTTTGGGAGACACAGTTTGGGAGGTTTTATTTTGTTTTGATTTTTAGTTTTTTGAAAGAGCATCTCTCTGTGTGTAGCTCTGGCTATCCTGGAAATCACTCTGTAGACCAGGCTAGACACAAAATCAGAGATCACCATGTATTCAATATATAATCCAGATGACTGATACCCCTATCATTTTACAAATTCATCATTCCCAATTGTGATTATGCTTCCAAAGGTAAAAAAAAAATCAACAAAATCAGCAACAAAAGGAAATTAAACACCAGGGAATTCCTGTTTCAAGTACAGTAAATCTTACAGAGTGTGTACCATCCCAACAAATGGTCTACAGAGACGATCAAAGCATGGTTGACCCATCATAGTGGCATCGTCTATATATTTGTCCCACTCCAAGCATTGTTACTACTTGAAGTCTTCAATATTTGCAGTGTAATATATATTTACATTTTAGTGAAATATGACTCTCAAAATGATTGCTGACGTCCATAGGTAGTTGAAGGTATATTCTACCCATGAAGATTTCTCTTTAATTCCACTTCAACTGGAAAGCACAATGCAAATGATTAGCTCTTTGGAAGTCATTAAAATGCTAACTTAGTAAATCACCAGCAGAGGTACTAAATACATCTTTGAAGGGCTAAGCTCCCTGGGATTATTACAGTCATCAAACTCTAGACCTTGTCTTAACTTTTAAATCAATACTCTGAAATTTGCTTGATAATTAAAATAACCATTCAAAAATTCTTAAAGTATTGTTAATATGTAGTCACAATGCTATTCCACTTAAATACTTCTCATTCATTCTCCCCCAAAATAACTAATGGTACCTTATTAATAGCACTGTGCCTTTAAAGGACCTGTCAGGACATTTCCCTGAGAAAATGAGGTATCAGTCATTTTCATTAATGCTAATAAGCCAAAACCCAGAGTTAATGAAACAATTTCAAATAAAATCACCACTACAAAATCCTAAATACTGTTGGGTGAAAATGTTAATTTAAACTAAACTAAACTATTATATACAATATATATGGATACATGATATGTATTTAAAATACGGGTTATAAAAAACCCTACCTCTGCCAAATGCTGTCTTTATAAAATCAGGTGAATATCCTGCTTTAGTTAGTCTGCAAACAAAAAACAAATATATCTATGTTACTCATCAGAAAGAAACACCACATTTTAGGCAAAGGCCGATTCCAAAGCAGTTCCAAGCTCAAAATCTGCTGAAAAAAAAAAAAAAAGAAAAGAAAGAGAACAACCACTGATCTGCCCAGATCCATTTCTACAGTTCCACGCTTCTTATGGAGGTCTGGCTTCTTCTTAGAGGTGCTCATGTTTACAACTGGATGTTTCTATAAATTGTACTTGGTTGAGTGCTATCTTACAGAGTATACATACATTCATGAAGTAGAACATACTAGATAAACTAGTAGAAATGTGTCATTTTATGACTAAGGAAACTGAGGCAGGGGCTTTAACTGACTCTGAAAGGAAAAGGTCAGGGCAACAGTGCAGAACTGCTCTGAGTTACCCACACTTCCCCTTGTAAAATTTAAAATTCCACTAAATGAGGAGACTATTGCATTTCTAAAGTTTGTATCTTTAAGTGTTACATTTCTAAAAAAGTGCTACTTAATTCCTGTTTCTTAGACTTGAAATAGAACAGCTTTATTTACTAGGAATGAAGTACTCTGAGAAAGCATCACAGTGTCAGAAAGGCATCCTTTCTTTTGCCCACTCTTGTTTTTTCTACACTCATCATTCTGTAATGTTTTTACCTGACACTTTTAATAGTGTGATTTGTAAAAGCATCTTGAAGTGTCCCTGAACTAACCAAACAACAGTATTTCACACAAATTAAACTTCATAGTACTAAAACTGACCAGATATTTTATAACATTATGAAATTTACTACATTTATTTTTAAAAAAAATATATTTATACAAGCATTACACAATGAAGAAACTATTTCAAATAAAGTATTCTTATGAATACTTACTTTTGTCTCATCAGAGCATTTTTTCTCTTTAATTCATTGATGTTTCTTTCCAAAGCACGAGCTTCCAGCTTGAAGAAAATAATAGATTTTGAAACTATATCTATAAAATCTCAAATGTCTAGAGCATGATGGCATATAACTTCACGACTAAAAACAGGTTAAGAATCTGCACTTATCTTTTTTCACCCCCATCACCATGCTTCTTTCAGTGACCCCCATTTCCTGACTTCTGCTGGAGTGCCAGACCTCTCCCAGAATGCCTATCCATGCAGGACCACCCTGAGTCCCCGCCTACCTGATCTTTGGCCCTCAGGGCGGGACCCTGCTGGAGGTGAATCTGGGACCAGTTCAGGTCCAATCCCTGCCATACCCTTCCCTGGAAACTTCCGGGTTAGCCCTGAATGTAGCTCCCACCTACATCCAGTAGCCATCGAGAACACTCCTAGAACTTTGATCCACAAACCACCCACCCAGAATCTGCCCTCACCCCAACCTGTGCCCTAACTAGGCCACTGTCCCACTGCTTTCATTGAGCACTGGACCACAGAGCAGGTCCAATAATCCCGCCAACTTCAGGGAACTTCCTGGATCTATTCTGAGCACACTAAACCACATCAAGTCCCCTCCTGCATAATCTTTGAATCCCATCGCCTGGCCTCTGCCTGATACCTAAATAGCCAGGCCTCTGCCAGAGACCAGACTATCCATGCTGGACAACTGAGTCCCTGCCTACCTGATCATTGACCCCAATTGCCAGGCCCCTGCCTGAGAGGTAAGCTCCTAGAGAGTTTGGACCACACAGAGATACAGACATCGAACTCCTGACACAATTAAGCCCACTGGGGGAGTAGCATAAACAGGAGAGAAACCCCACATGTACCCATTGGAAGAAGTGAAGGTAAGGTGACAATACAAGAAAACACCTAACAATAGAAAGACAAGAAGGAAGTCATCAGAATCTAGGGAATCTACACCAATTACTAGACCTGAAGACTTGAAAGCAGATGAACCAGAAGAGGAGGACTTAGAAAATATTGTCATAAAAATGACAGAGGCACTCAGAGACTATACAAGAAAATCCCTTAGAGAAATGAAAGGAAAAATATGCAAAAAAATGGAAAAAAATGAACAAATTTCTTAAAGAAAGTAAGAAAAGTCAAGAAAAAAACAGATGAAGGAAATAATTCCAACAGTTCAAAACCTGAAAACTGAAATAGAGACAATCAAGAAAACACAAACTGAGGGAATGCTGGAAATAGAAAAATTGCACAAATAATAAGAACTATAGATGTAAGCATAACCAACAAAAACCAAGAGATGTAAGAGAGAATCTCGGGCACTGAAGATAAACAGGAGGAAATGATTCATTGACCAAAGAAAATCTTAACTCCAACAACTCCTTAACAGAAAACACCCAAGAAATGTTGGACACTGAGAAAAGGCCAACTCTATCAATAATATGCATAGAAGAACTTGAAAAAGCCCAGCTCAAAGGGGCAGAAATCATGTTCAACAAAATCAATGAAGAAAACTTATCCAAGTTGGAAAGGATACATCCATGAAAATACAAGAAGCATATCGAACAACAAATAAACTGGACCAAGGAAAAAGAACCCCTCGACACATATAATCAAACATATGAATGAAGAAAGAATTTTAAGAGCAGCAAAGAAAAAAGACCAGGTAACATATAAAGGCAGACCAGTCAAAATTACACCGGACTTTTCCATGGAAACTCTCAAGGACCATAGGTCCTGGATATGTGGTTCTAAAAGTGCTAAAAGTCCATGGATGCCACCCCAGGATACTATGCCAGCAAAACTCCCAATCACTATAGACAGAAAAAAAGAATCAGCCAGATTTTCACAATACATATCTACATATCCAGGCCTACAGAAACTTCTGTAATGAAAACTCCAACACAAGGAAGTTATCTAGGCTCATGAAGACATAGGCAATAGATGACCCCAATTCATCAGAACCCAACTTAAAAACAGGGCAAATATATTCAGAATACCATGGCCAACAAAATATCTAAAGCAAATAAGCATTAACAATCAATGGTACTTACTTTCCCTCAACATTAATGGTATTAAATCACATATAAAATAACACAGGCTAAATGGATAGCAGGACAGAATCCATCTTTCTGCTGAATACAAGAAACACAGATAAGCTTCAAAAGCAAACATTAACCCATAGCAAAGGGTAGTGAAAAGAACTTCCAATCAAATGGACCCAAGAAACAAGCAGGTGTGGCTCTCCTAATATGTAATAAGTTAGATTTTTAACCAAAATCAATCAAAACAGATGAATAAAGTCATTTCGTATTCACCGTAGAGAAACCCATCAGCACAAAATCTCAATTCTGGACATATATGTCCCAAATACAAAGGCACCCACATTTGTAAGAGAAGCACTACTAAAACTCAAAGTTTACATAAAACCTCACATACTCACAGTGTGATAGTTCAACACCCCAATCTCACCACTAGACATTTCCACCAGATACAAACTTAACAAATAATCAAAAGAACTAACAGAAGTTATGTCTCAATTGGGTTTAGCAGTCATCTATAGAACATTCCAACCAAACGCAAAAGAATGTACCTTCCTCTCTGCTCCACATGGAACCTTCCCTAAAATCGACCACATAACAAACCTCAACAGATACAAAAAATTGGAATAGTCCCCTGTATTTTATCAGACCGCCATGCTTTCAAGCTGGAATTCAACAACAACACACCTCGCAGAAATCCTACAAACTCACAGAAACTGAACAGTGCACAATTGCCCCTGGATCACAGAAGAAATAATGAAAGAAATGGAGGACTTCCTAGAATTCAACAAGAATGAGGACACAACATATGCGAACTTATCGGACACCTTGAAAGAGTGCTATGAGGGAAGTTCATTGCGCTAAGGGCCCATATGAAGAAAACTGAGAATAGTCACATTAGAGAATTAACAGCAAAACTGAAAGCCCTAGAACAAAAAGAGGCAAACTCACCCCAGAGGTATAGAAGCAAGGAAATAATTTGAGGGCTGAAATCAATAAAGTAGAATCTTGGAAAACAATACAAAACTCAATGCAATAAAGAGTTCACTTTTTGAGGAAATGAACAAGATAGACAAATCTTTATCCAAACTAACACAAAAGCAGAGAGAGAATACACAAAATAACAAAATCAGAAACAAGAAAGGAGACATAACAACCGACACTGGGGAAATCCAGACAAGTTTCAGGTCATACTTTGAAACCCTATGCTCCAGAAAATTTAAAAACTCAAAGTAAATGGACAAATTTCTCAATAACTATCACTAACTAAAATTAAATCAAGAACAGATGAGCACCTTAAAAATACCTATCATCCCCACTGAAATAGAGGCAGTCATTGGAAGCCTCCCAACCAAAAAAGTCCAGGGCCAGATGGCTTCAGTGCTGAATTCTACCATAAATTCCAGCTAAAGCTAATAACGTAACTCCACAAATTGTTTCACAGAATAGAAGTAGAATGTTAATTACCAGACTCCTTTTGCAAGGCCACAATTACCTTGGTAACTAAGCCAAAAGAAGACACAACAAAAAAGAGAACTAAAGACCAATATTCCTCATGAATATTGATGCAAAAATACTCAATAAAGTACTGGAAAATCGAATCCAAGAACACATCTGAGAAATCATCCAACATGACTAAATAGGCTTCATCCCTGGGTGACAGGGACAGGTCAACATATGAAAATCTATCAATGTGATCTACAATATAAACAAACTGAAAAAGGAAAACAACGTAATCATGTCACTGGATGCTGAAAAACCTTTGAGATAGAGGTCTTGGAGAGATCAGGGATAACAGGAACATATCTAAATGAATAAAAGCAATATACAGTAAACCAACAGCCAACATCAAACAGAGTGGAGAGATTAAGGCAATTCCTCTAAAATCAGGAACAAGACAATGCTGCTCTCTTACTCTCAATATCTCTTCAATAATGTACTTGAAGTCCTAGTTAAAGCAATAAGACAACAAAAGGAGATCAAGAGGATACAAATTGGAAAGGAAGAAGTCAATCTGTCACTATTTGCAGGTAACATGATAGTTTACATAAGTGACCCAAAATAACTCTACCAAGAAACTCCTACCACTGACAAACACCTTCAGCAAAGTAGCAGGATACAAGATAAACTTAAAAAAATCAGTAACCCTAATTTATTCAGACGACAAAGAGGTAGAGAAAGAAATCAGAGAAACATCACCCTTTACAATAGCCACAAGCAACATAAAGTATCTTGTTGTAAAGCTTACCAAACAAGTAAAAGACCTATATAATAAGAACTTTGTGACTCTAAAGAAAGAAATTAAAGACGATACCAGAAAATGGAAAGATCTCCCATGCTCTTGGATAGGTAGGATAAACATAGTAAAAATGGAAATCTTACCACAAACATTCTCAGTTTCAATGAAATCCCTGTCAAAATCCCCACACAATTTATCACTGATCTTAAAACAATAATAATCAAGTTCATATGGAGAAAAAAATGACTGAGTATAAAAAAACAACCCTGTACAATAAATGAACTTCAGGAGGCATGACCATCTCTGATTTCAAGCTTTACTATAGAGATGTACTCTTGAAAACAGCCTGGTATTGGCAGAAAAATATACAAGTAGATCTATATAATCAAATAAAAAATCCTGACATTAACCCACACAACTACAAACAACTGATTTTTGATAAAACACCTAAAAGCATACAATGAGCAGAGGAAATCATCTTCAAAAAATGGTGCTGGCACAACTGGATGATAGTTTGTAGATGACTGCAAATTGACCCATGTCTATAGCCATACATAAAACACAAGTCAAAATGGATCAAGGACCTCAACATAAATCCATCCACACTGAACCTCTTAGATGAGAAAGTAGTAGGTGCCCTTGAAAAATTGGTACAGGAGACTGCTTTCTTAACATACCTCCGTTAGCACAGACAATTAATAAATGGTAGCACCTGAAACTGAGAAGTTTCTGTAAGGCAAAGGACACTTGACAAGACCCAACAACAGCCCACAGACTGGGAAAAGATCTTCACCAATCATACATCTGAGAGAGGGCCGATCTCCAAAATATACAAAGAACTCAAGAAACTAGTCACCAAACACCAAATAACCTATTAAAAATGGAGCACAGATCTGAAGAGAGAAATCTCAATTGTGGAAATCAAAAAGGCTTCAAGACTCTTAAGAAAGTACTCAACATCCTTAGCTACCAAGGAAATGCAAATCAAAACAATTTTGAGATAACATCTTACCAGAAATACTAAAATTAGGAACACCATGAGAACTTATGCTGGAGAGGATATGAAGAAACAGGATAACCCCTACACTGCTGTCAGGAGTGCAAACATGTACAGCCATTTTGTAGATCATTATGGTGATTCTAAGGAAAAATGGGAATCAGTCTATCACAGGACCCAGCAATCCCACACTTAGGCATATACCCAAATGATCCACATCCATGCAAAAAAGGTATCTGTTTACTATATTCATAGCAGCATTATTTGTAATTGCAAGAATCTAGAAGCAACCTAGATGCCCCTCAACAGAAGAATAGATAATGAATATGTGGCACATTTACACAATGGATTACTACTCTGCCAGAAAGAAAGAATGTAATATTGAACTTTGCAGTCAAGTGGATGGAACTTGAAAAAACCATCCTGAATGAGGTAACCCAGTAACAAAAAGAGAGACATGGTACTTATTCACTTATATGGATTTTAGACATAGAGCAAAGGATCACTGGCTTATAATTTACAGTGCCAGTGATGAGACTAGGATACAAGACATTTCTAAGAGATTCATACATGATCTCTCATGGGGGGGAGGAAAAGATCTCCTGAGAATATTCAGAGTGGTGGGGCAGTAAGTGCATAGGGGACTAGGAGAAAGAGAAGGGCAGGAGAGGAAAACACATGACATGAGACTAGAAAGATTGATTCAGGGAAGGAATAGACGAGAAAAAGAGAGAGAGAGAAATACCATAAAATAGGGAGCCATTATAGGATTCTATAAAAAATGATTATAGAGAAATGTACAGAGACCTACAAGTCTCATCCCAATTTACAATTTGAGCAACATTTGCTAGGCTACTATAAATGCCCTTCCCTGATAAAGAGATTGATTACTTACTTATGTACAATAATTGAGCCCTCATCTAGAAGCTGATAGAAATAGAAGCAGATACACACAGCTAAACACTGAGCCAAACTGGAATCCAGATGCAGAGAGGGAGGACAAAACCAGGCTATAGAAACACATAGAGACAACTGACCTAAACAAGGAGGAGCTAATGGGTCCCAGAGTGATAGCTAGGAATCCAGCATTGGAACAACTCAGACCCCCTAAACATGGGTCTCAGAAGGCCTGGCCAGTCTAAAGGACCTCTGACAGTGGAACCAGGATGTATCCCTGATCCATAATAGGATTTTGGAGCATGTACCCCATGGAGTGATACTCCTTTCTCCTAGAGGCAAGAGGGAGGGCCTAGTTCCTACTCCAAATGATTTGACAGATTTAGATGACCCACCCAAGAACTCATCACCCTACATGTGGAATGGGGAGATGTTATTTGAGGGTGGTGCTTGGGCATGGGAGGGTAGAAGAAAGGGAGCAGGAAGGGATGGAGCAGAAACTGGTATTCATATATAAAATAAGAAAAATAAATAAATATTATAAATAAATAAAAGAGAATTGGCACTTATTGTAGTCAATATAAAACATTTTTAATTTTGGGAATTATTCAAAAAGGGAATGAGTTTTAAGCCATACAAATGCATAAATGTAAAGCTGGAGTTTTATTGGTACTTGACAATTAATGTTGCTGTTTAAATGCAGTATCAGAGCCTAAAATCATTTGATGATGAAAATATCCAATCATAAGTGGCTAGCAGACTAACATAGAGCAAAGTCAATGGAAATGGATGGTCCTTAGGTCCATAATACTGGAAACTACAAATGTCTAAAACAGTTTCACAGAATGACAATACAGGTCAATTTTAATAACTAAATACAATCTGTACATATCACACTACTATTAAGTATAAGACCATTCACAAACACAATTGCAGCAGTTATTATTTGTATGTGTGTATTTGTTGGTAGTGTGCAGCACCATGCCCAACTTAGTTATAATAAATACCAAGAACCTGCAATACTCTCAAATAATCATTAATAAAAGCCAAACATATGGTATTCTACATGCTTCCCATTCTGTTGACTCTACAGATCAGATATAGAATATAGAGTACATTAGATAGATCAATGCAAAATGTAAGCTTACCATTTATAAGTAGCAAATACTAACACTCTTCAAATAAAAGGGACACTACTGTCAATAACTTTGCAATATACATGAGAATTGACTTTAGCCAACTAATGCACTTAACATCCACCGTAAATATAGCTTAAATATATTTTACTACTATAATTTTTTTAGCTAGGCAATGGTGGTGCACAACTTTAATCCCAGTACAAAGGAGGTAGAGGCAGGTGCATCACTAAGGCCACCTTGGTCCACAGACCTAATTCCAGGATTGCCATCAATACACAAAGAAACCTTGCCTCAAACCCCTGCTCCAAAAAGGATGTTTCTCTGTGTGTAATTATTTTCCAATTGTAATCATAAAAATCAATTTTAAACAAAAAGGAATTCAGTACAATACCCTGAGCTAGTAAAATGTTACAATTCACTTAACTGTTTTAAAATTTTATTTAGTTTTATGTGCATAAGTGTTTCTCCTGACTCTGATATACCTGGATTTATAAGGTGCTCACTGTATGACACATAAATATGAAGATGTACACATGTTATGTGTGTGTGCATGCACACACGAGTGTGATTGGAGGTGTCTTAAGAGGACAGAAGAGGGTCTAAATTCACCTGGAAGTAGAAGACAGGCAAATGTGAATCATCTGACTTGCTCAGAACCAAACACAGCTCTGGTCCTCTGGAAGAGCAGCAAGTGCTGAGCTGAAATACTGAGCTCTCTCTCCAACCCCCAAAACTCCTTCTCAAGACTTTGTGATTTTAAAACTAATTATATTCAGAGGGAAATGTACAAGTAAAGCACAGAAATAAAAGATTAATTCTCAGTGCTTCCTATGGTCTGGCCTAAATATGATTTAAATACTGGTAAAATTAATAAAATTCATAGAAAGTGATTATTTTTAAATACCGTCTATACCTTTAACTAATATAACATGAATAGTATATGTTAGGGGACTTAAAAACTTACCCAATAGTCATGTTCCCTTTGTTCATGAGCCATAACCTAAAAAACAGTTATTAAAATTATTCATAAATAAAAAACTTTCATTGCCACCACTAAAATTCATGGCCCAAACCATAATTCCCACTGCCGAGGCATCTCTGAAGCATTATAACCATTTTGAAAGCATAATTTCACATATACAGATGATTTTCTCTCCTGAAATTTTAAACAAACCTGAACATAAGGTTTTTAATGCCAACAAACTGCAGAAGACGATCAACTACTAGAGTTTCCAAGGAACAGATAACAAGCACAACATGGGACTGTGATGGTGCCAGACAGTGCTGTGCTGTATAATACTCATTCCAAAAGAAAGGAAAGCTGCAGAAGTTTTTTATTTCAGCATCTTTGGCTCCCTGTGTATATTTCAGTTTCACAAAACACCTCAGGAGTGATGAAAGCTACAGTCCTGCATCAATTCTATCCAGTCAGAGTGCTCTAACTGCATATACAGCTGTCACTTGACACACATACCTGCACTTGATAGGAGCAAATTGTTCTCTCCAATTCTTCTTCGATATCCTTGGCACGCCGTCTACATGGAACAAATAGTTACTCCACTGTGCTGACATATAATAAAGAATAACAGCATGTGGCTACAAGAATATTACTGAGTGTTCTTCCTTATTTAATTATAACCACAAGACTCCTCTTTTGAGAGATGCTGACAGGTATTAAAGACCATCTTCTCCTCCCCTAAGTCTAATGTCAATTAAATTATGTGAGCACTATCACTTGGATGTGCCTAACACGATGTCACAAAAATTTACACAGTACAGAAGGTCTCAAGCAGCCTGTTCAGGGGCTCAGTTACAATCTTACCATGCCTCCATCCCAAGTGTAAAAGTCTCAGGCACATGCAAGCATGCCTGATCATCTGGTTTTCATTTTCAGGACTCAAAATCATGAAAGATAAACTCAGATCCTATAAAATTAACAGAGTCCCAGAAAAGGAAATCGTTTTTGTTTGTTTTGTTTTGTTTGTTTGTTTGTTTGTTTACTTCAAGACAGGGTTTCTCTGAAGCCCCAACAGTCCTAGAACTGGCTCTGTAGACCAGGCTGGACTTGAACTCACAGAGATCCACCTGCCTCTGACACCAATGCTCAGCTCAGGAGAGGAACTCTTAAGAGGTAAAAGTATAACTAACTTACTGTCTTTATGAAACAAAAAAGTAATTTGTCCTTTTAGACAAAGCCCAAACTTACCCTTCCTAAGGTTGATAGAAGTGTCTTATGACTCAAGTTGCTGTGGTGATCCTCTAACAGACATTCTAGTGTTTCCTCAGGTCCACTGAGGACTGAACCAAAGACTAGCTAAGCATTTACTAAAATTCTAAGAGTGGCTTGTTCATTTCATGGCAAACTTGCTGAATGCTAATACTGTGTATATTCTTTCCCAGCTGAAAAAATATTCATGAATGAGCTTGAATTAACTGCTCATCATGTCCTTCTTGAAGACAGGGTCTCATGCAGGTCAAGCTAGTTTCAAGCTCACGATTTAGCCAATATTGGTCTTGATCTTGTGACCATTCTTTTCCACCTCCTAGTGCCAACACACACAACATCCATACCTATTTATAAACTTCTTCATGTTAACATAAAATATGCTTATACTTATATGTCAAAATCCCCAAAAAGAAATTTTTCCTTTTTATATTCTCTGAATATCAACAAAATTCCACGAAATTCAAATACAAAGTAATGAAACAAAAATATGCCAATTCACTGAGTAGTTGTGTTAGGACACACAAGCCTTTAGTCCTAGCACTTGGTAGGCATAGGCAGGCAGATCTTTGAGTTCAAGGCAAGTCTGCCTCAAGAAAGAGTTCCGGATGGGTCAGGGATACAGAGACCTTGTCTGAGATCAAACAAAACAACAAAGCCATTTTATTTTACTGCTTCCTGATGCCAAGCATCAAAATAAGAAAGAGGATGTCTTACCTATAGGTGTCTAGTTCTTTGTTCACATGGTTGGTTCTCTTGTTGACTTTGAAAAGTTCTTCCTCTTTCTCCAATCGACAATTTTCCTCCACTGTTATTTTCCTTAAAAAAAAAAAAAGAGTTTTTCATTCCTTTTAATGTATGTAATCAATATAATCAACTACAATCACAAATAGTGTATCACACAAAGCAATTGCCATACACCACAGCAAAGGCCATGTGCAAAAAAACAAGAAAAAAAAATTGTGTGTCTCTGATATGAAATTTGGCACTGGGAAAAAGTGTGGTTCCAACAAACCCTCCACTTCTGTGGAACTTCCTGGCTCTGCTCTGAACCCACTGGACCCACCTATCCACTCAGGTACACCTTGATGCTACACTTTGAACCCCACCAACTGGCCTCTGCCAGGGGAGCAATCTCCAAGAGAACTTGGATTATCCATGGTTGCAGACATCGAACTCCTGTCCCAACTACATTCACCAGGACAGCAGCGTAAAGAGAGACAGAAACTCCACCTTCACACACTGGAATAAGTGATGGGAAGACAGAAATAGAAGAAAATGCCCAACAATAGAAAGAAGAGTATGATAAACCAGAATCTAGGGACTCGACACCAAAAAGAACTAAACATATCAAAACAGATGAAGAGTATGACTTAAAAAAAAAAAAAAAGTTCTTAAAAATAACACAGGCCCTCAAAGATGCTATGAAAAAAAAATCCCTTAAAGAAATGGAAGAAATCCAGACTAATGTGGTTTGATCAAGCCAGACTGCCTGAAACAGAGTACAAGGTGATCCTACATTCAAAACAGCTGGACAAAGCAGCCTTACAGACTTCTGCCAGGATTTCTGAATCTTCTTCGAATCCCCCCGTGACTGCGCCCCTTACCAGCAGGAAGTAGTTTGGAAAGAACGCCCAAATTCCCAAATATTGTGTATATATGTTTGTTTTCATTTAAATGGACTTTGTTATATAAAATAAATTAAGAAAAGAAATGCAAAAAAACAAACAATAAATTGGAAGAATTAGAGGAAAAGGACACAGAATATATGAATGAAATAAAAAAAATCTCTTAAAGAAAGTATAGAAAGCAAAGAAAAACAATAAAACAGATGAAGGAAGCAATTCAAACTGTTCAAGACCTGAAAACTGATATAGAGACAATAAAGAAATCCCTAATTGAGGGAACGCTTAAAACAGAAAACCTGGGTAAATGATCAGGAACTACAGACACAAGCGTAACCAACAGAATATAAGAGATTGAAGAGAGAATCTCAGGAGTTGAAGATAAACTACAGGAAATAGATTCATTGACCAAAGAAAATCTTAAATCCAACAAAACATAGTAGAAATGTGGGATAACATGAAAAGGCCAAACCAAAGAATAATAGGCAGAGAAGAAGGTGAAGAACCCCAGCTCAAAGGTGCAGAAAATATATTCAAAAAAATCATTGAAGAAAACTTTCCCAATCTGAAGAGAACTTTTCCAAGTTGAAGAAATTATGCTAATGAAAATACAAGAAGCATACCCAAAACCAAATACACAGGACATAAAACAAAACAAAACAAAACAAAAAAACTCCCCTTGACTCATCATAATCAAAACATCTAACATACAGAATAAATAAAAACTATAAAGGACAAGAAGAACAAAGGCCAGGTAATTTATAATGGCAGACCTATCAATCAAAATATCAAAATTACACCTGACTTCTACATGGTAACTCTCAAGGCCAGAATGTCCTGGATAGATGTTCTACAAGTACTAAGAGTTCACAGATTCCAGCCAAGGCTACCATACCCAACAAAACTCTCAATCACTGTAGATGGAGAAAACAAGTTATTTAATGACAAAGCCAGATTTTCACAATACATATCCACAAATCCAGCCATGGAGAATGTTCTGGAAGGAAAACTCCAACACAAGGACGTTAACTACAATAACAAACAACTAGCCAATCGATAACACCCCTTCACCAGAACCCAAATGTAAAAGCATAGGAAATATACACAACAATACCACTGCCAACAACAACAAAATGAAATCTAAAACAAATAAGAATTAACAATTAATGAATGAATGGTCCTTACTTTCCACCAACATTAATGGTCTTAACTTGCATATAAAAAGACACAGTCTAATAGAATTGACCTGAAGACAGAATCTACCCTTTCGGTGTAAAAAAGAAACACATCTAAGCTTCAAAGACAGATACTAACCTAGAGAAAAAGGGTTGGGGAAAGAACTTCCAATCATTTGGGCCCAGGCAGCAAGAAGGTGCAGTTATCCCAATATCTACCAAGTTAGACTTCAAACCAAAATCAACCAAGAAAGATAAAGAAGGCCATTTCATACCCATCATAGGAGAAGTCCATCAGTACAAAGTCTCAATTCTGAACATCTATGCTCCATAAACAAAGGCACCCACATATATAAAATAAACACTAATAAAACTGAAAGCTCACATAAACCTCACACATTACCAAACTTTTTATGGGGCTTGTTACACAAGTCACACAAATGCACAAATAAGAAAGAGAACTACAGACCAACATCACTCATGAACATTGATCCAAATATACTATATTAAATACAGGTATATTGAATCCAAATTCACATCAGAGGACTCATCCAACATGATCAAATAGGCTTCATCCCAGGGATGCAGGGATGGCTCAACTTACAAAAATCTATCAATGAGACCCACAATAAAAACAAATGGAGAAGGAATAACAACATTATAATCCCACTAAGATGCTGAAAAGGCCTTTGAAAAAATTGAACATCCTTGGAAAGATCAGGGAAAACAGAAACATACCTAAATATAATAAAAGCAATATATAGTAAACCAACAGCCAACATCATACTGAAAGGACAGAAGCTTAAGGCAATTCCTCTAAAATGAAGAACATGACAAGACTGCCCTCTCTCTACATATCTCTTCAATAATGTACTTGAAGTTCTAGTTAAAGCAATAAGAAAACAAAGGGAGAACAAAGGGATACAAATTTGAAAGGAAGAAGTCAAAATGTCACTATTTGCAGATGATATGATAGTTTCCATAAGTGGTCCGATAAACTCTACCAGGGAACTCCTATGGCTGGAAAACACATTCAGCAAATTACCAGGATACAAGATTAAGTTTAAAAAAAAAAAAAAAAAAACCTTATGTCTACTATATACAGACGATGATGTGGCAAAGGAAGAATTCACAGAAATATCTAATGGATCAAAGACCTCAACATAAAACCAGCCACACTTAGAAGAGAAAGTGGGAGGCACTCTTGAACAAATTGGTACAGGAGACAGCTTCCTGAACATAACACCAGTAGCCCAGTCACTGAGATTGGTAATCCATAAATGGGACCTCCTCAAATTGAGAAGCTTCTGTAAGGCAAAGTACACAGTCAGAAAGACCAAATGGCAGTGCACAGACTGGGAAAATTCTTCACCAACCCAACATCTGACAGAGGGATGATCTCTACAATAGACAAATAACTCAAGAAACTAGTTACCAAAACAACAAATGAAGAGAGAATTCTCAATAGAGGAATCAAAAATGGCTGAAAGAGACTTAAGAAAGTGCTTAACAGTCTTTTAGCCAACAGGGAAATGCAAATCAAAACAACTTTGAGTTACCATATTATTCTTGCCAGAATGACTGAACTTAGAAACACCAATGGCAGCTTATGGTGGAAAGAATGTGGGGAAATGGTAACACTCCTTCACTGCTGGCAGGAGTGCAAATTTGTACAGCCATTTTGGAGATCAGTATTGTGGTTCCTCAGGAAAATCGAAATCAGTTTAACACAAGCCCTGGCAATTCCACCCTTGGGCATATACACATCCATGTTAACAGAGACATCTGATCATCTGTGTTCATAGCAGCATTATTTGAAATAGCAAGAATCTGGAAGCAACCTAGAAGCCCCTCATCTGAAAATTGATAAAGATGTCCATTTACACAATGGAATACTACTACTCTGCTGAAAAAAAAAAAAAGAACAATGGAATCTTGAAATTTGTAGGTACATGGATGGAACTTGAAGAAATCATCCTGATTGAGGTAACCCACTCATAAAAAGAGGAACATGGTATTTACTCACTTATGGATTTGAGACATAGAGCAAAGGATTACCAGCATATAATTCTCACCGCGAGAGAAACTAGTATACAAGGAGGAACCAAAGACAATAATACAAGGTCCCTCACAGAAGGGGAAAGGACAGGATCCCCTGAGCATATTGGGAGTGGGTGGGGTCAGTGAGTGGAGTGTCAGGAGAAAGAGAAGGGGAGGAGCAGAGCACATGTGGGACCAGGAAGATTAAATTGGGAGACTAATACATGAGAGAGAAAAAGAAAGAGAATATAATAGAGGGAGCCATTATAAGTTTGAAGAGAAAATTGACTCAGAGACCTACAAGGATAACCCCAATTATCAATCTGAGCAATCGTAGAAAGTCTACCTTAAATTCCCTTCCCTGATAATGAGATAGATAACTAATTTATATGCCATCATTAAGCCCCCACCTAGTAGCTGATGGCAATACAAGCAGAAACTCACAGCTAAACACTGAGCTGAACTCTTGGAATCCAGTTGTAAAGAGGGATGAGTGATAAGAAAAGTGGTCAAGACCAGGCTACTGAAACCAACAGATACAGCTAACCTGAACAAGGGTCAGCTCATGGCCCCCAGACTGATAGCTGGGAAACCAGCATTGTACTGAATCAGATCCCTGAACGTGGACCTCAGTTAGAAGGCCTGGGCAGTCTAAGGGACCTCTGACAGTTATACCAGGATGTGTCTGTGGTGCATAAAAGGACTTTGGGAGCACATTCCCCGTGGAGGAATACTCCTTTAGCCTAGAAGCAGGGGGGAAGTTCTAGATACTACTCCAAATGATTAGACAGATTTTGATGTCCCCTCTTGGATGGCATCACCCTCCCTGTAGAGTTGGGGGGGGATGGGATGTGAGGGTGTGAGCGGGCCATTATGGAAGGAGGGAGTGGGAACTAGGATCAAGTTTTATTATAGTAAGTCACTATGTTTGTTAGTAAGAGGGCCAATAACTACAACTATGGCTTGTGTTGTTTTGTTT